TACAAACGACAATCCACTCAACTTCGTCGTCATCGAGCGGTCCCAAGTTTTATCCGATGTAATGTTAAATAACCACAGACGTTCCTTTAGTTACTCGGGTAAGTGCACGAAGCTGATGTCCTAAAAGTAGTCACAGCCAACATGCCCATCTATCCACTGCTGCCCACGCGGCGATGAAGCGGGGAACGGGCTAATAAAGTTCAGCAACCATCACTCTGGTGCCAGTTGGAAAACTCAAGACTTATTTCAAGCTGGCATATCAAGTAGAGCTCTATGACTACAGTGTTCATCATAAGTACCGTATTATGTCGCGGTATACATACAGATGCATAAGAATGATTAATAATATGAAGGGAGAATGCATTCAAGCAGAGTGAAGTAAATATATAGTGGAACAAGTAATGTTTAGACTTGGGGGGGAAAAAAAAGAAAAGAAAACAATGAAAAGGACGTTTCGGCTAAATTAAAAACTCAATTGTTCCCAGATCACAGTGTACCTATCTCAGATCACAATGTAGCTCTTGCACTTAAGTGTTACTGATCACAGTGCACCTTTCTCAGATTACAATGTAGCTCTTGCACTTAAGTGTTACTGATCACAGTGTACCTATCTCAGATCACAATGTAGCTCTTGCACTTAAGTGTTACTGATCACAGTGTACCTATCTCAGATCACAATATAGCTCTTGCACTTAAGTGTTACTGATCACAGTGTACCTATCTCAGATCACAATGTAGCTCTTGCACTTAAGTGTTACTGATCACAGTGCACCTATCTCAGATCACAATGTAGCTCTTGCACTTAAGTGTTACTGATCACAGTGTACCTATCTCAGATCACAATATAGCTCTTGCACTTAAGTGTTACTGATCACAGTGTACCTATCTCAGATCACAATGTAGCTCTTGCACTTAAGTGTTACTGATCACAGTGCACCTATCTCAGATCACAATGTAGCTCTTGCACTTCAGTGTTACTGATCACAGTGTACCTATCTCAGATCACAATGTAGCCCCCTCAGATCACAATGTAGCTCTTGCACTTAAGTGTTACTGATCACAGTGCACCTATCTGAGATCACAATGTAGCTCTTGCACTTCAGTGTTACTGATCACAGTGTACCTATCTCAGATCACAATGTAGCCCCCTCAGATCACAATGTAGCTCTTGCACTTCAGTGTTACTGATCACAGTGTGCCTATCTCAGATCACAATGTAGCTCTTGCACTTCAGTGTTACTGATCACAGTGTACCTATCTCAGATCACAATGTAGCCCCCTCAGATCTTCTTCTTCTTCTATATCTTAAGGGCCCACGATCAATTTATTGATCATTTTGGCTCCTATGTATGTAGATGGGATTTGCAATGTTTCTGTTACTGGTGGTGATGAGGAAATTATGCACTAGGGGTTTGAAGGCTTGAGGCAATAGACACAAATGTGTCTAGTGTTGTCGCCTCAACTGTTCCTTTTGAAAGATGGTTCCAGTCCCTGATTGTCTTGGGCAGGAATGAGCAGCTCCTATACTGGCTTCTTGCTGGTATGAGCCTGAATTGCCTGTCATGGCCTCGTCGCTGTCTATGGGGGAGAGGGACGAGTTTCTGTTTAATACTGGAACAGTGGACCAGCCCATTATTTATCTTGTACATCATGGAGAGCCTGGATTGTCGTCGTCGTTTCTCCAATGGTGACCAGCCTAGTGTTTCTAGCATGCTGCCAACACTAGAGGTATTCCTGTAGCGGTTTAGGACAAAGCGTGCTGCTCGTCGCTGGACCGCCTCCAACCTGTCAATGCTCTTCTGGGTAAATGGGTCCCAGACTGAAGATGCATAATCTAAAATCGGACGGATAAAGGCTTTATATGCTCTTTCTTTCACACAGGAGTTGCCAATCTTTAGATTTAGCCTTAAGAACCCCAAGGCTTGGTTTGCTTGGTTACATACATTGTTAATATGCTCGTCCCAGCGGACCTCTCTTTGAATGGTAACACCCAGGTACTTTACGGAGGAAACTTTCTCAAGTATATGGCCGTGCAGTTTGTATTGGTAGTGTAGAGGAGTACAACTTCTAGAGATTGATAGTGTCTGGCACTTGGCAGGGTGAAATTCCATGTCCCAGCTCATCTCCCACTCAGCTAATAGATTGAGATCCTGTTGTAGCTGGTCCTGGTCAGATCTGTTGGCGATCGTCCTATACACTGCAGTGTCATCTGCGAACAGTCTTGCCTGTGATGTCAGTTTCTCCGGTAGGTCATTAATGTATGCTAGGAACAAACAGGGGCCCAGGACTGATCCCTGGGGGACCCCTGACTTCACATTGACAAAGGAGGAGCTTGTACCGCCCACCACTACTGCTTGGCGTCGGTGGCTGAGGAAGGTAGAGATCCATGTTTTAGTGGTGCCTTGAATCCCATATATCTGGAGTTTGTGTAGAAGCAAACTATGATTCACCCGGTAGCTCACAATGTAGCTCTTGCACTTCAGTGTTACTGATCACAGTGTACCTATCTCAGATCACAATGTAGCTCTTGCACTTCAGTGTTACTGATCACAGTGTACATATCTCAGATCACAATATAGCTTCCTCAGATCACATGTTGCACTTAAGTGTTACTGATCACAGTGTACCTATCTCAGATCACAATGTAGCTCTTGCACTTCAGTGTTACGGATCACAGTGTACCTATCTCAGATATCACAATGTAGCTCTTGCACTTAAGTGTTACTGATCACAGTGTACCTATCTCAGATCACAATATAGCCCCCCTCAGATCGCAATGTAGAAATAAACGCGCAGTATAAATTATAAAAACGGAAGTTAAGTTGTTCAAAACAGGCCTTTCATGTAATTCTGTGGTGCGTAGTGTCAATGTATAAGAATTTAAGTATTATTGTTTTAAATTCAATATTTTAAACCACAAAAAATTAGAATAGAAATGGAGAGACATTGAGGACCACTGATAAGGCAGTATTTGATTGCTCCATTTGGTGATATGATGCCGAAAATTTGAATTACTTTATTTTCATTCTCCACTCTCGCTGGTGTATTAGTACAGGCCTGCACAACATACTGCCCGCGGGCCACTTTCGGCCCGCCAGCATCCAGTTTGCGGCCCGCGAAGCAACGAAATATTCTTTAGTCTTATTATTTTCTAAATAGCTTTCCCCCCTGTCCTATTTTCTTCTGGACCGCACAGGTCATGTCCTATTTTCTTTTGGCCCGCACAAGTTTTTCATAAAGTATTACGGCCCGCCTTACATTTTGAGTTGTGCAGGCCTGTATTAGTACAAGAAATTAGAGTCATTATGGATACATTGGATGTGTCCATGTGTTCATCTCCGTTGAAATGGAATGAGACCGGGGATGGCTTGTTTTGTTCAATATTGCGAAGATGTTCACTCAACCTATGAGATAGCCTTCTTCCCATCTCACCTAGATAACAGAAGCGACGTCTTCAGCAAACAACAAGTATCACATTTCGACTAATACACGTTACGTCCTCTTTAATGGCAAAGGTCCCCTTAATGAAGTCATTGTATATTTTTTCCAAAATATAGGGGGAAAGCCATAGAACGGATTCGTAATCATGGATAGTCCCAAAGTGAGAAGGGTTGGCTTGAAGGCGAATGTCAACAAGAAGTCACAGACATTTTGACCCCGTCTGAAGACAATAAGTACAGAGGATGAGAATACCCTGTTAGTGTCGGGGTCAGCAAGGCGTAGGATGACGATTATTTAAAACATTTATTGTTTGGCCTTCACATTGTGAGGGTGGTAGTGGTAGGTGAAGGTGAGTTTGGCATTCACATTGTGAGGGTGGTAGTGGTAGGTGAAGGTGAGTTTGGCATTCACATTGTGAGAGTGGTAGTGGTAGGTGAAGGTGAGTTTCGTATACGAGTACGGGCGTCATTTTTTGTTTAAACGAGATTTAAAAAGCACCATTACGTGTGAAATGTGGCAACTCGTTAGAAGAGTGCCGACACCGGGGGTAAGTCTCGGGTTAATGTATAACTCTGGAGCGGAATAAGTCAATCATGTCATTATCCTCATCTAAACACGTACAAGTGTTCGTATGACTAGCCACTGAGTCTAAGAAGTTGAGAACAATTTTTGGCGTCTTTGCACTTATTTGGGGTTGGGGGAGGGGGGTGTGTTGTGAATACAATACCTATGGCTGTCACTGTTATTTGGTTGCAGTAGGCACAGGCGAATGATCCATGTTCTGTTAAAGCAAAGGTAATATCCAGAAAGTTTACAGAACTCTCAGAGATTTGTGAAGTAAATTTAATAGATGGGTTGAATGAGCTTAGAAGATCAATAAATTTTAAGAGTTCCCTTGTTTCCATGGTAGTGATGATAGTGACGTCATCAATGAATCTTTAAAAAAAAAATATTCTGGGATACAATCATTACGTGGCCTTTCTGCATGTGTTCAAATAAAGAGACTCATAAAAAGGCAGGCGTAATTAAGGGAAAATTTTGGTAACCGTTGCCACACCACTAACTCGGTCAAAGAATGACCATAAAATTAAAAAAGTTGAGAGTGCGTACCAGTTGGGCCAGTCGAATATGGGTGTTAGTATAAATTAATGGATGTGGTTTGTTTTCGAGGAAAAAAATCTCAAAGCCTTAAAGCCACCAGCATGCATAATAATTGATGTGTATGATAAGCAGACATCAAGTGAAAACGGTGAAAGCTTAGTATTAGGAGTAATGTTTAGGGAATTAAATGTTTTTAAAGTGTGGTTGTTGTCCGTAATAAGTGTGTGTAAAGAGGTTACCAATGGTTGGAAGATCCCATCAATAAATTCTGAGATGTGTTCTGTAGGGCAAGAGCAGGCTGAGACAAAAGATCATCCAGGGTTGCACTACAATGTGAGTTTTAGGCAGCAAACAGAAAAAGTGTTTTCCAAGGTCACTATGAGCATGGAATATGTGTGCAGGGCAGAAGCCGATTCTGGAAGTTTGGAACCATCAATAAATTGACAACAATAAAAACATTTTTTTGACGATTGGCATTTTACTTTATTTTATTTTAAAGTAAAAAAAACAACACACTATTTAGTGATACATTTTGTTTGGTCAAATAATAAAAGCATTGGACACAGTTACATAGATTTGAAAATAAAATTTAAAAAAATTGACTTACCGTACCAATACCACATAATGCATAGTAAAAAAAAATGCACATTGAAAAAAATTTCCACATAAACGAAAATAATATTAAATAATGGCAACATAAATTATAAATGTTTAAATTTCTCAATGAATCATTTAGTTTTCAAAGCAATAAGGTGCAAAAGTAAGTCCTCTTTTTATGACCAACTGCTTAAGCTAAAAGAAATCTTGTAGTCAAACTCTCAAATTAAATAACACAAGATTTCTTTTTTCCATTTTTTTTCCTTCAAATTAAATAATACAATATTTATTTTTTACATTTTCAATCTCTCCATAATAATCGTAAATAATAAAATAATGAATAAAGCAAAATTATTTGAGAAATGCTTGTGAATATGAATAAATAGCAAGCTGTCGGTGTCACGAGCTCTGTTTTCATCATTTGTTGGGTGGTGTCTGTGATATTTTCATCAGTCTAGTGGTATATGAGTTCCTTTCATCACTGTCTTGCGGTGTCTCCATGCTATTTTCATCAGGCAGTCAAGTGGTGCATGTGTTCTATCCATCAGTTTAACATTTTATGAGGCAGCTTTCACAGGAAACTGTGATAGACTTCTGACATATTCATCAAGTTTGTTTTTGAAGAGTTCACTCGTTATTGGCTTGTCCAGTTCACAAAGTGGATTTTTCACAACATATTCAACGTACAACTAGAATACAAGAAGAAAACAAATTATCATTCTAGCTAGATTTTCTTTGTCTAACTAAAATCAATGTCATTTAACCAAGTAATGTAATAGTTTAGTAAACAGGCATCACCTGCTTGTTAATGAGTTTTATTTATACGGTTCCGTAAATATGCTTATAATGAGAAAATATTATTACTATGCTGCCCAAGTCAGAATAGTTATGTGCTGTGCATCTCTGGGTTGAGTTTTTTGGTCTTATTGTGGGTAATATCTTAGCATTTAAAGTAAACTTCTTATGTAATTTATTGATGCACTGCAGTACTTTGTAGTGATTTGCAAAATAGTGTGTCAGTTTGTTTTCATAATGAAAAATTTTATGTACTGTAGTAACTCAAATATCTGACTTGTATGTTGCTAATACTGTCATTACTAGCATTTATAATATCTCTGAAATCATTGCTTTCATTTTAATCCATTTTGAATAATTCCAATAAAAATGTCTGTGTTGATTTTGCAATCTAAGGGGGACCTTCTCCAATATCAGAAATAAATGCATTAAAAATATATTGAGCAAATTTCACTCCCAATTAATCACAAAGCAAGCCCTGATAATATCATATTTACACTCAGATAGGAACGTAAATAGGAAGCAAACTGATTTCTGTAGAGTGATTTCTGCATAAATTATTCATATTTTTAATAGCAATTTTAACAGCAGCCGATTATATCAACCAACAGCAGATCATCGGCTGTTATGAATTTTATAGGGTGAATACTATGGTCATTCAAAATTTTCAGCTAAGTTGAATTGTTTTATTTTAAATTCAAGTTCAAGGTGAATATTTTCAGCTCTAAAAGTGTAAAAGTTGAAATGTTTCAAAGCAATTTTGTTTGTGCAGATACTAACTGAGCTAAAGATCTGATGCAAGACATCCTTCATATTCCCCACTGACAAGTCTGTGTTCATGATCAGCTTCAGGCCACTTGGTGTCTCAAAAAAGTGGAGCTTGTATTTGCTGGTAGTAAAATTTAAAAAACCTTCTTTCCTGACAGTTGGTTAGGGAATAAAACAAAAAACGTGTAAAGCATAGATTACCTTTTTAACTAATCTCACCCAACATCAGCAGGACACACAATTCATAAAATTACAATCTCCTGAAGACAAAACCCTGATCATTAAAACCCCAAATAATATTTTTAAAAAATGAATATAACCAATAATTATTTTATCATTTCAAAGAGGAAAAAAAAAATCAATGACTTTTTTTATTATTTGGATTGATACCAATCCCCCCAAAAAAAGTGATAAATTCACACAGAGAATAAAATAAAAATGATAATGTCTCCATTAAATATTTATTATCTGTGGGTTGGGTAGTTAAAAAGTCAATGCTAGCACTCACATTAGGTACCACAAACTGAGTTTTCAAAACAGTCCTACAGCTTTATTTTATATTGTCATGTCAAGAACTCGTGATTCTAAGAACGTGGATACCAAACTTGTTCATTTAACTCAATTAGTAAAAAAAGTTATGAATTTTTTAAAATTGAGTATTTTGAAATATTTTCGCCACCATCAAAAGTGTCATTTGTGCAAGGCTATACCTGTAAAAGTAAATCACTTAATCTCATTTACTCACACTCAACACATACCCACATATATAGAGAACACTCAATTTTTTTCAACGGTGAAAAATTATTCATTCATTAAAATTTTATTGTTATGAAAATGGTGTTTCATCACCTTTTGAAAAAAATTAAAAAGGGAGGTAAAAAATGCAAAATTCGGTCATTTGTAAAAAATCCCTAATAATTAACTAATAAGAAAGCATACATGATAATTATATCAAAATGTAGGGGAAGTAAAGGTCTATGTACTTAAATAGCAAGTGGAAATATACCATGTACATTTAAAATACAAGAATTGTTAGAAAAGTGCAAGTTCACAAGAAGCAAAAAATCAGTCTTTTTTTTTTAAAATTGCAAAAAATCAATAGTTATACCAAGAGATAAGCTAATAATACCAAAATAAATACAAATTAAAGCTTTAAAAATTCCAAAAGTCAATGAGCCCATTACATATATATATATATATATATATATATACATACCAAACATAATTGGAACAGTGAAAGTGTTCAGATACAGAATTTTTATTTTTAACATCTACATCATCTGACCTTGCACATGGCCCACTATGTTTTTTTTTACATCAGTAAGCTGAGCTCTTTTGTTTATTTGCTTTAATTCTTTATTAATCTTTTTATCCTGATTGGCAATCATTTCCTCCCTGAGCTTTAACTGAACATTACGCTCAAGTTCTTTCCTGGCTCTCTTAAGTCTAAGGGCATGCTTCCGAGCAAATGTAAATAACTTAGCTATTTTGGATAAAGACTTGCTTTTTATGAACACAGATGTTCTGTTCCTGTTGATACAGTGCCATGTGGACCTACTGTGTAAAGAGCAGTTCTTCCTCTTATTAATGTCATAATCTAAGTCCCCAAAGGCACTTTCAACAATCAGGTCGGTAAGGGGACAGTCAGTTAAAGCTTCTTTGGTAGGTTCTGATAAGTTATCACTAAATGGGCCAGTGCCAAGAAAATCTGCTAGCTGGCGTTTAGTTACAATAGCGCATTCTTTGGTTATAAAAACAATAGTCTTAGTCTTATTTAAAACAAACAAAATATTATTAGTACTGTTTACATACTGTGTAACAATATGTAAGTCATAAAAAGAACTTGAAAATCTCGGCCAAAAACAGATACAAAACTATCATCTATTAAAATAGATGGGTCATTAACACAACATTCAAAACAGTCTAATATTTTCTTTACAAAAATATGAAACTCTGCATACTTTAAATTACCTTTTAACAGTTTCAAAAATGGACCTGTTATTTTTAAATAAAAAAGAGCAATAACACAGATTTCAGTCATTAGCTCTGTATCATTAACATAAAAAATACACTTTTCATTTTTAAATTTATGTTTTCAGGCAAAATGCCACATGTGAAAAATTGTTTAATCTTTTTTTCATGTACTATTAAGGCAGCTGCAAAGAATCCATTAAAACAATTAGATTTGAATGAAGGAATGCTAGAAAGCCAGCCATTCTGCTCTAAACCCATTTTTCTGATCACCCTTTGGCCCTAAAACATCACAAGCTGTTCGAATTAAGCACAATGCAGCTGTTTCACTGCTATTGGAAAAATGATAAAATTTGGATTCCAGATCTCTACCAAGAGAATGCCCTACTTCTTGTTTGAGATCAGACTCAACAGCACCAAGTCCTTTTTCACATGCGCTGCTTAAACCTAAAAGAAAACAAGCATTGCAGTGCAAAAAATGAACTTGTATTTGTTCACCCAGTTATTGGGAAACATAAGAACTAAATTTAGTCTGAAACAGCTTCATGGCAGAAGCTCTTTCACTCAGCGAATGTAATATTTATTTTTCTTAGAAAATTTGTAAAAATATTCTAAGAAGATTCACTTGAATACTCTGAATATAAATTAGCTAAATACTTGAACAGATCAATGGTCAAATCTAACATGGTATTTGCATCCTCAGAAGCTACTAGATTAAATCCTAAAAAAATTGCTTTTCCGTTATCAAGATATATTTGATGGCCAACAATTTTTTTATGGTCTCTTGATGTATCCATCAGTATGTAATGTGGCATTTTTACACCCCAATAGATTTTCAGCAGCTTACACTTGGCTAACTACATAAGACTTGGCACAAAAAGTTAAACAAGTTGTTGCACTTGGGAGTTTTTCAAAAATGCAATTTAATTAATTGGCACTAATAATATTAATGCAGTGAGACACATTGTCAGCTGCTATGCCACATCTGACATCAAAATAGTAACTGTTTGCCTGACAGAAGTGGAGTAACAAATTTTAAAGGATCTTTTAATTTAACAGGCATTTCACATTCACAATTCATATTGCCAATTAAAATGGACCCTGTGTTTACTTTCATTGATATTATTTTGTCTTTTAATTTCATAATATTTAATCGATGATGGTCTAACTGAACAGAAAAATCTGTATTTTCTTCTTGAAGATTTCAAATAACACTTTTCAATTTTGATTTATGATGCTTAAATTTATTAAGAGATGATATTCTACTTTCTTCATCATTTACTAAATGTACCTTCAACATATTTAATTCCTCTTGAAAAATACTAATTTTTTCATTAAGCTGCAATTTTTCAATTTCTAGTTCATTAACTTGTACACTAAATAAATGTGCATTGTCTAAAGCCTGTTGTAATGTTAATTTAAGTTCATCAACTTCACAAGACAATGGTTCTTTGTTGATACTAACAATGATAGGGTTAGGAACAATATCAACAAGAAATAAACCACTCATAAATTCTCTGAAACGCTCAGGTTGTCTTCGTTCAACATTTAAATGCCTCATTTTTTAGTAACTTTTCGCCAAATTGGCTATCTTTTTTTTTAAAAATGACATTTGTCAACAGATCCACATAACAAAAAAAAAGCCATCTATGAATAGAATCAACAGTTATACTATATGTTGTTTCCTTAATTGAATACCGGTATAGAAAAAAGTCAATAATAAATTCATTTATTACTTCCTGCACTGAACCAGCATACTCCTTTGGTGGACAGTACACATTTTCTTTATTTATACTAAATGATGATAGGGTAGGGCTTATGGAATCCAAATCCAGAACTTGATCCAAATAATGAATGTAATCCAAAGTTGAAAGGGAGTTAAAACTGCTAACAACCTTTTCCACACACTTTTGAACTTTGTGACTGGTACTGATACATATTTTGATCTGAGAGAACCAGGTTTCAAGCTGAAAAGATAAGTTCAGGCTTGAGAAAATTCAAAAAAATTTAAACTTAGTACTTAGTAGAAGTACAATACAAAATATGTTTATTACACTGAATAACTTATCTTAGGCATATACTTATAGTTACCTGCTCCCACGATTAGTTATTTTCCTCCTTCAAAACCAGAGTTAAGAAGTAATTTGTTGGTGATGATTAGAGTAGGCAATGATGACCTTCTTCCTTTCCCTTTAGCCAGAAAAGTCTGCTCTTGAGCAGCAAACTGTTCACCATCATCTAAAACAAAATTGAACAAATAATACATGTTCTGTCTAACATAAATCAACAGCATATCTATGATAACAGAAATTACTTTGAGCTATTAATCATGCATTACTTTGACCATCCCTTAACTTAACGAGTTTTTCTACTTTTAACATTCATTGTTTGTTTACATTGCCGACAAAAATTATGATCATGTGACCTTTTATATTTATGAAAATTGACGCTGATAATATTATTTGCCAGTTATAAAAATAAGTAGTTATTAATTTTCAAAGTATCTTATTTCAGAAAAGACAATAACATTTAAACTAAGGAATCATACAAAATTAGACTTCACTACAAACAGGGGGGGTTTAGGTCATCTGACAAAACCCAAAAACTATAATAATCATTGAAAAACTAACGTATTTATATCTACAATAATACAAATTTCCTAAAGAAATAAACAATTAAAACATAGCTGACACAGTTTCAAACTATTTAATTACATGTTTTTACTGATTTTACTTACCAACCAAGCATTTTAGATCAGCTACCGTCAATTTAGATAAAACTTCTGGAGCGTTGTCAACATGGGTTTTCAGCCATTTTCTCGGACCAGGTCGGAGCGGGGTGAATGAAAATTATAGGGTTCCTTGTTTCACTAGGCCATTTTGGTTCATGTTTAGAAATGAAGTGCTGTTTTCGTATTTTAAAAGAAAATATGACGAGCTTTCTAATGATGCTGGCTTAAATTTCATATTTTGCCAAAATCACAAAGTAATGATAATTTTCTTCAATTTTGTAAATTTAAAAATATTTAAACTGTTACATTACATTAATGATTAGTACGAAACTAAAGGGTATTCATTTCTGCATACAATACACTTATTTATGACGAAATTCTACAAAAAAAAAAAAGACAGAAACCGGCACGGAGATTAAATAATAGATTTAAAAAAATGATCGTTTGACTACCGATAAAAAGTCACTTTGATGATGGTTTTCATGCAATAAATACTTTATTATATCAACAACAATGAAAATGACATAGAATCAGAGGGCTTAAAATTTATTTTTAAATGGTACCATTTTTATTAGTATATGACCAATTTTAATATAGAAAACATTTAGTGAAAAGTTACTAAATAACGGCTTAAGTGAGACAAAAACTTGTTTTTAAGCCAGTTTGTGGTACCTACTCACATAATCAGTGTGACACAGTCTATAAACTTCTAGAGTAGACATACAATATCATACATCAAACTATCACTCCAGTGATAATTTGACAGAGAAGGATACATGTCTGTTGGTGAAAGTCTACTTGCGAATGACTTGATGGAGAAGATCATGCCATACATTAGTTTGTACTCCTGGGAGAGAAGAGTGGAAATAATTAATTTTCTTCTTCTTCTATATCTTAAGGGCCCACGATCAATTTATTGATCATTTTGGCTCCTATGCATGTAGATGGGGTTTGCAATGTTTCTGTTCCTGATGTTGATGAGGAAACTTCACTGATTTCCAGTGCCACTTTGTGAGGGAATCATGCACTAGGGGTTTGAAGGCTTGAGGTAATAGACACAAATGTGTCTAGTGTTGTCGCCTCAACCGTTCCTTTTTGTTCAGATTAATGATTTAAACTACCAGGATATTAACATATTTAAATAAAAATTAAAGGTATAAAGGCCTGAGTCTTAGTTAGTAACCTAAGAATAGCTAGAACAAGAGTCTACTCTAGATCATGGGTGGCCAACCCAAACGGCACTGACCATTTTGATGGCTGAATGTCATTACAGTCATTACTCTTATAAAATTTAATCAAATAAACAGCAAATACAGCAAAAATAAATTGTATTGACTATAGCGTTTAATATAGATATGCAATATTATGATGATACTGAGATATAAATCTTTAAAATTACTGAAAAATTATTTGAAAAGATATCTGGTGGGGGAGAAGAAATCTAGGACGTCCCAGGCTGAATTATGTTTATTATAAATTTGGGTACTCCTCAGAACGTCGGGCCCAAATTAAAAATAAAATACTATTTGTTAGAAAGTGTCCGGCTACCAGCCTAATTGCTGAAGTATTTGTTTACGTTTAATAATGCTCTATTTAAATTTATTCTTTTTTTTTCTAACGAAGATGGTGATCTTCATCAGCCTCTTCATCATCATCATCTCCTGATAGAAATTTTTTTTTTTAAAGAAGGAAACTAAAGAAAAATGCAAGAAAGATACAGAAGTTACCTCGTTAAAATGCTTTTTGATTTTGTAATTAGATGGTTTTTTCAGGAAGTCACAGTGTGGCCCACACTAACCAAACCTATTCAATGATACTCATACACTTCATACAGTGCCTTCCAGTTTGTGTCATAAGTTTGTAGAATTTTTCCTGACAAAACATTATATGAAATATGCTATGGTATTGTTTATTTTATATCATTATTACAAGCAATAATTAGAATAATTAGTCAGAAAAAAATGTGAAATAAAAAATTATGTCACCAATTATCGGCGTCTATTAGGCAGTATTAGGCTGGTAGCCGGACACTTGCTAACGAAAAGTATTCAATGATTAATTTGGGACCACCGTTCTGAGGAGTGCCAAATTTGGCGTATTGTCAGTGTTGATTCCAGTTATTGAAATTGAATTGTGAATAAAACCAACTCTACCTCATCTTTACTCATTGAGAGTTGCTTCTTTCTGTTCCACTCAGAATAATATAAGCAGGTTCCATTGCGATCAAAAAGATAAAAGTTAAAAATTGCCATTGAAAATGATTTGTGAGAAATTTAATAATATTATGTTAATTTTAGCCTATTTAATTTCCTCCCACAAACAAATATAAGAGTGATCGATTAAGTGTACTGCAAAATATCGTTACTACTGCTGCAATGAAAATTTAAAAAATTAATCTAAATTATATCAACAAATGAATTTGTAATTTTTTGTGAGTGTGGAGATTTTAACTTATGAGTTAATATATAATTGTTAAAATAAAATGTTTTAATTTTTAACATAAAATATGTGAAATCATAATTTATTTGAGCCACCAAATTTGTCAGTCTTTATTATATTTTTAAGTATACATTACATCAGCACAGAGGCATTTGAAAAGGGTGGGCGGGTTTTGGGGGGGGGGGGGGGGACAGTCAACACTTATTTCTTTATATGAAGGGGCAGCAATTTTGGCAATTGCTGAGTTTTTGTCGTGATGGGGGCGGCAAAAATCTTGGCCCGTAAAAGGGGGGGGGGTTTTTGGGGGGGGGGGGGGTGGACAGTCAACACTTATTTCTTTATATGAAGGGGCAGCAATTTTGGCAATTGCTGAGTTTTTGTCGTGATGGGGGCGGCAAAAATCTTGGCCCGTCCAAAACAGCATTTACCCTAGCTACGCCACTGCATCAGCAATTTGAACGTCTGGCCATTGTAAAGATCACCTTTTCATTAGGGGGAATCCATAAATGACGTCTTGCTATTTGATTTTTAACCCTATCGTCACAAAGTTGTAAAACAAATAAGAAACTTTTATCACATATTTTTCAGATGCCCCCTTACCTGTAAAACTTTGGTCACAGTGGAGTGAAAGCGGGTTAGAAATGGTCCAACAGTTTGGCAATACTGTAGGTGTAGACTCAATCAGTACAAAAACTAAGTTTTGGGTAGAAGGTAAACCATGAGTAAAAATATCTTAACAACCAAAGGTGGTACACAGTCATCTTGGCATGAGTTAAAAATTGGGTATGAATGGTCTCCAGGCATCATCATCATTTGATGCAGTGACTATTTCCTCTTTTTGGCATAGGCAGAAATCTGCAAGCCCTCAGTTGATCTGAGTGGTGATAAGCCTGAAATCTGCAAGCCCTCAGTTGATCTGAGTGGTGATAAGCCTGAAATCTGCAAGCCCTTAGTTGATATGAGTGGTGATAAGCCTGAAATCTGCAAGCCCTCAGTTGATCTGAGTGGTGATAAGCCTGAAATCTGCAAGCCCTCAGTTGATCTGAGTGGTGATAAGCCTGAAATCTGCAAGCGCTCAGTTGATCTGAGTGGTGATAAGCCTGAAATCTGCAAGCCCTCAGTTGATCTGAGTGGTGATAAGCCTGAAATCTGCAAGCCCTCAGTTGATCTGAGTGGTGATAAGCCTGAAATCTGCAAGCCCTCAGTTGATCTGAGTGGTGATAAGCCTGAAATCTGCAAGCCCTCAGTTGATCTGAGTGGTGATAAGCCTGAAATCTGCAAGC